TGGGGGGGGGGTGATGAGTTCAGTTTTTTGGGACTAGAAGAAAAGCATTAGCACCCCCTTCTGGCTCCTTGAGGAATGGCCAGCCCCACTGTGGGAGGGTGGCCCGTGCGCTGGGGCTGGTGCGCTGGGAAGTAAATGCCAAGGAGCCAGGTTGGTTTGGCTGAGGAGCAGTGACCAGCAGATTGTGGTGAGGGATGTGCTCTATTGTCAGCCTCCAGTGCTGTCTATGAACTACAGAGCAGAGCAGGTAACCCGCCAACCACAGCTCCAGCAGGGCCAAGGCACGAGGGGCCCTGCCTCCCTTCTGACCTTCCCTATTAAAGCTCCCAAGCTGTTGGGGTTGGCGGCTTACTTGCTGTACCTAGAGGAGCTGGGCTGGCTCTGGGGGGACAGTGTCTGAGGTGGGGATAGGGTGGTGACTATCACCCCTTCCTTGGGGGAGAAATACTTTCCTCAGTAGAAACAGAGGGAGCTAGTGCTCTGTACCAGGACTGCCTGGCCCGGGGCACTGGCCAAGCCTCGCCACCTCTTTGCCTCAGTTTCCCCGTGTGTACAATGGGTACCGCAATACCGGTTGTGAGGCTGAGTTGGTCAGTGTGTGTGAAGGGCTGTGGTGCTGCTGAAGGTTAGCCCAGCTCAGGCTCATCCTGCAGACACTGCCACTTGAACCAGGCCCAGCCAGATTTCGTCTGTTTTTCAGTATCCTCTCCATGAGCAGCAGGGGTAGCTGCAGGAGACCCTCTGCTCTGTGAGGGGGCAGTAGCAGGGTCAATGCCATTGTTCTGTTGATGGATGCAGCAGAGGGCGTTAGAGAGGCTGGCAAAGGGGAGATGGGCTCTGATCAGCCAGGGGAGGAGGGATTGACACTCCCACGGTGCCGAGGGGCAGTCCTGGTGTAGTGCCTGAAGACCAGCCAGGAACCAGCCCCTTCCCTGTGCTACCTGGCTCCATACCTGAACCAGGCTTGCCTGGGGTGAGAGACCAACGCTGTGCCCCACCCTTCCACTCCCAGCTGTCTTCTGACCCCACCCTCGCCTTCCCTGCTCCTGGGGGGCTACTATGCTCCATGCATAGCTGGACATGGCAGCCTTCTCCAGGGGGCGCTGCCCCTCCCCAAGGGGTGATTTCTATGGTGGGCTTCCCACTCGGTAGCACGCACTGCCCTTGGAAGGCATCAGAAGCCCTTAGGCCCTTGGCACCCAGCCAGGCTTCCTGCTCCAACCCGGACGCTGCTATCGGGTGTTCTAGTGGGGCCAGGCCCCGTCCCGGTGGCACTGAGATAAAGCACATTCCTCAGCTGGGTGCAGCCCAATGGGTGGCAGGGGCCAGGGAGTCTGGAATTTCACAGGCAGCATCTGCTGCTGGGGGCTTAGGTTCAGCAGACGTGCCCCCTCCCCAATGATCAGCTGCTGGCAGTGGCCCACAGCAGCCCTGGCTTGTGCGTTCACCAATACCTGACAGGTCAGAGAGTCGTGGAATCAGCTGCAGGGAGCTGGGGTCAGGGCGCATTGAATTCACCATCAACTACAACCCTCCCTGCAGACCTGGGGCGGGTGCAGGCTAGCCTGGCCACAGAGTGGATCTCCTGTGCCGGCACTGCTGGGAGCTATAGGGGGAAATCAGGCCCGGAGTGGCTTCCTTTCCCGGCCTCTGCCTGAGGTGCCCATGAGGTGTTGCCTCCCTTCTGGTCATGCTGCCTGGCTGTGAGAAGGGGCGGCCCCTTGGACTCGGTGGGACAATTAGCCCGAATGGCTGTGCAGCAGTGCAAGTGTGCGGACGTGAGCCCAGAACCGAGCGACTGCTGAGCAAGGGGAGTAGGTGACAGGCGGCAGCCAATGGGGCTGAAGTGCTGTCTTGAGGGGCATGGGGAGTGGGAGTGGCAGTTGCCATTCACAGCTCCCAAGCCTTGCAGAAGTGGAGACCTGCATGGCAGACATCTCCATCTTCTCTCCCCCCCTTCCCCTCCTTCTTCTGCTTGAGGAGCAAGCTTGGGGCTAGGGGGTTGCAGAATGGCTTTCCTTCCAGGGCCCCTGCTGCAAACTGTAGAGCTGGCACGGCACACGGGGCACCCCGAAGAGCAGGGCCTTGCAGCAGTTGCTCATGCTGGAGCCAGATAGGGATATGTGGGTGCAAAGGGGCAAACCATCTCTAGTCTAAGCAGCTGCCTCCTTGCTTCAGATTCACCACCACCACCACCACACACACACACTGCTTGTGCCTTGACTACCCCTCCTTGTGGGAGAGGCTTGGTGGGCACTGGCTTGGGCCCTTGCCAAATGGATCCAGCAAGAGAAGGAGGCTGGTTAGACGGGAGCTGCTGTCCATACACAGAGGCCGGGGGTTTGGTGCTGCCAGCATGGAGTGAGGGTGAGAGGACCCTCTTGTCCTCAGAAGATGCAGGTGCAGCCCACGGCAATGGTCTCCATGACCATCTTGTATTCCTTGTGGCACCTCTTCTTCTTCCTGCGGGTCTTGGCTCCCGAGCCCTCAGGGGGGTGGCACAGGAGCCGGCGGACGGGCAGCTTGCTGTAGATAGGGATGCTGACAATGGTGCGATCCTCCTGCATGGTGAAGGGGTTGATGCAGCCAGTGCAGAGGCACTGCGCCTCTGGGATGTCTGCTGGGATCCGCGTTGCATCGTGGTTTATACTAGAGAAGAGGGAGAGCGTGAGGCTGACAGAGTCTGTAGGGGGAGCGGGGACACGGGCCGGAGTACAGGTCACTTCCACTCGGAGGCGCCTTGGACGAGTGTGTGTTTGTGAGGGGGCAGTGCCTGCACACAGGGAAGGGGGAATACGTGCTGCAATAATGCACACGTGGAGAAATGAGCCTGCACCGGGCTCTGCCTGTGCATGGGGGGGATGCCCATGCATGAATCAGTGGGCACCCATGTTGCAATGCCCACACATGGGGGAATAGGGTCATATAGGGCAATGGACACATGGATGCTCAGGGATGCAGATCACTCACCCAGTGCAATCACTGCCCAATGGAACAGCATCCATAAGCGTTCCCCACTTGGTTAGTGCCCATTAGGTTCCCTTCACAGCAGAGCCCTGCCCTGTTCCTTTGTGGTGCTGGTGAGAGCCCTACCCTGGGAGTGCCAGTCCCCAGGGGTGCTTTGCCCTGCAGTCTCACCTGTAGGCCCATGGAGACAGACTCCTCTTATTGGACCTCCAGAGCCTCAGGTTGACCTGACACTTGCTGTCGGCAGGCTCTGAGCTGTTCCGCAGCTGGCTCACCATCTCCTGGATGCTCTGTTCGTAATCCTCCAGCAGGGTGTAGGGGCTGTCCGCCGCTGAGGCCATGGAGTTCCTCTTCAGCATGGGGTCGGGGCTGGGTGCCTGGGCCTCCGGCAGCTGAACCTTGGCCCTAGCCGGTCCTTTCCTCTTCCCTTTCGCTCCCTTGCTTTGGTCCTTGGGTTCGGTGGTAGCAGCCCACGTGAGGGAGACGGAGAGAGCGCAGAAGAGAAGCTGAGAAGGAAGCCAAGACAGGGCGTGACGCCAGCACTGGGAATGCTTCCGCCCAGCCCATACTGGGCTGGGGCCGGGGCCCAGGGAGGTTATGTTCAAAGAGAACAATATTCTATCGTAGGAATCGCCAACCCTACCAGGGCTGGAACGTCCCAGAGGGGCATCAGTGCAGGGAGGCAGTATGGCGTCTAGTGGTAAAAACAGGCTAGGGCAGCAGGACTCCTGTGTTCCATTCCTAAGCGCCACGGCCTTGTTGGGTGACCCTGGGTGAGACCTCAACCTTTCTGTGCTTCAGTAAAGTGGGGCAAATGAGACAGGTTCTCCTTTGTAACAGCTCGCAGGTGGGGATTCCAGCAATGATCACGTCTGCGGGGAGATTGCCCTGTGAAATCTGAGCTCCTGGGGGTGGCGTTTCTTGTAGGCACATCCTGTAAGGTGGCAACCTCAGGTGCCCCCTATGCTGGCTGGGTACATGGGGCAGCTGACTGGCTCAGCCTTGCTCCTAATTGCCAGCAGCTGGCAGCGTTTCCAGCGTGCTAGTGGGGAGAGCACCATGATGGCAGTTCCAAAGCTAGGCTGGCTGAATAGCTGTTTGTTGCAAGTGCTCTGAGTGTTGAAATGATGGAGGGGGGAGGCCGTTTGCAGAAAGTCAAGACAAACTCTCTAGTGAGCTGGACAGGCTGGGGGGAGGGGACTAGCCCCCCTGTCGGGTCGGTTTATTAATGGGGTAGAAAGGTTTCTCTCTGTTTTTCCCCTAAGACTAATGCAAACAGAGCTTTGGTCTGTTTGTTTCCTTAGCCACCGTTTGCAGGGCTGGCATGGCAGAGACCTGGAGGAGGAAATGATTATGGAGGGACAGCGGCCGGTCTAGCTTCACTGGTGAAATGCAAAAGGGTAAACCCCCCACGGCAAGTCAGTGGTGAATGCCCTGCCGTGCCAAAGACTGGTAGTGACACAGGGATGTGTGGTGCACATCTGCAATTCCCACCCTGATGCCATCTCTAGCGGGCCACTTGTCATGAAAAGTGGGGAGGGGGATTCTGGGTGTTGTACCTGCCGGGGCTACAGCAGAACATTAGATCAACTCAGCTCGATGACTCAAGAGTGTGAAGGATCCACACCCCGAGCGACGTAGTTAAACCAACCTAAGTCCCGGTGTAGCCAGCGCTAGATTGATGGATGAGTCTTCTGTTGACCTAGCTACCCCCTGGGGGGGAGGTGGATTTGCTCCGGGAGAACCCCTCCCATTGCTGCAGTATGTGTCTAAGCTGAAGCACTGTGCCACTGCGGTATTCTGAGTGGAGGCTTAGCCTGGGATACTCCAACCTTCTGGAGCCACTAGTGCAAACCCTGATAGGGACAGTGCCCGCACCCCCAGGGGAGGCTGACAGAGCCCTCATCTCTCGAAGGTGTGCAGCTTCCTGTGTCTTCAGTGCTAGCCCCCCAGCCCCTGTTTGTTGTGTATGGGTGTTATAGCCACGCTAGGAGAAGGTATTTCCATTCCCCCCACCCCTTGACTAAAATGCTCTTCCCCTCCCCAGCTTACTGCTGTGCTTTGTTGGGTGGACTATTTGTCTGCCCCCCACCCCAGAGGTGGCTGCATTGCTGTAGGGAACTTGTATGTGTGTAGGGGCTTGCAGACCATTTGGACTGAAAGGTGCGTTAGAGCAGAAATACTGAATAATGTAATCATTAGCCAAACCCTCCTGGATTTCCTCCCACCATGACCCCTTGTCTCCCCAGCACTCCGTTCCGTGGTTGTTCCCTGTGGTGTCAGGGGGCTGCCAGAGTACCTGAGCCCCCAGGAACTGGGCTACTGAGGTACCTGCCCTGTAAAGATGCCATTCTCCTGGCACAGTACATGACCTGAGTTGTCTCTCCTCTGCCTGTTGTGAGCCAGTGCTTTGCCCTTTGGTCATTCACCTCTGCTCCCTCCCTTCCTGTCTCTGGCCCAGTCATAGGGCAGGGCTCTCTGGCAATGTCTCTCACACTTCTCCCTGCAGGAGCCTGCTCCATCCTTAAAGAATAGGGCAAGCTTCCCAACAGCAAACAAAGCCACCGTTTCTACATATAGTCCCCAGTTGCAACTGGACACAGGAATCTTCTTCACTCCCTGTCCTAAACTCATGGGGCGTACCCAGATAAACAGCTGCCAGGCCCCAGCCCAGAGGTGGCTGCATTTCATTGCTGGGTGCCATGATTCCTACATGTGCAGAGTGCTTGGGATCCTTGGGGCTGAAAGGAGCTCTCTAAATGCAAGTCGTTCTCCAGGCAGAAGCTATCGCGCTGGTCCCTTTGCACTGGAATCTCTGCAGCCCACAGGCTCTGTGGCTGTTTTGTCCCAGCTATGCCAGGCGTGGGGAGCAATAACTCATCCAGGCAGAGCGCCTGTTTCCAAAGCAAACAAACCCACCCAGCCCTTAATAAACCGAGCGTAAATAAAAAGCACCAAGTTTAGTGAAAGCAGCCCAGACACCTACCAGGGATGGAGCCCAGTCCATGGCAGAGGGCGACTCACAGACTCCTCGCCGCAGTGTGACGGGAACAGGATGAGCCAGGCGATTTAAAAAGGAAAGCATCAGCCCCTAATCTCTGCAGTGCCTGGGGGTGGGTCTGGCAGCACAATGAGCTTCCCCCAGGTGCCAGCACGGGTGTTGACAGAGGGACAATGGCTGATGTTGTCTGGTGCTGCAGGCGAACGTGGGCCACCCACGTGCACCTTGCTGACAGCATGAGCTTATGGGCTGTGTTTGCTTAAATACCTGCAGCCCCAGCACCGGAGCAGGCTGAAGGCAAAGTCCCCTGGGAGCGCTTTGGAAAGGGTAGATGTGCCATGCAGAGAGGCTGTGGTGTGCTTTGTGCAGGCTGGGTAGGGCAGTGGCAGGAACACAGGGCAGGGAGCAGGTGCCCTGAGTTCTAGTCCTGGCTCTGGACACTGCAGCCATGGCGCCCCTTCCTGGGATGTGGAGGTTCCTCTCTAGGCCGAGGGTTTGGATTCAGCTGATGAGTAGCTAGTGGAAGGTCTCATCTGGAAGCTGTTTGGTGGCCTGTGTGAGATATTGGGGGGGTCACAGCTCAGTCCCAGCTGCCCTAAAAGGACAGGCCTGGAGAGATGGCTCCTGGTGCATGACACAGCTCGAGAGCTTGGCCGGCCAGCTGCTTTCCTCCTCTGATGAGCAGAGGTCCCAGAGCGGCACCAGTGTTCCTGCCTAGAGGTACGGTGCCCCCTGGGCTGACTGATGAGAGGGGCAGAGAGCTGGCTCCAGGCCTTCCAACCTTTCCAGCTCAAGTCAGTTGAGGCAGAGAAGTGGCTAGGTGACATTATTGTTCATTTCCACCACACATATCAGTGGCTTCTCTGAAAACCTCCCCGCCCTTCCCTTCCCCCAGGGCTTTGCAGCCAATGGAGTGGATCTGCCCGAGGAAATGCAGGTGTTTGTAGGGCACAGCAGAAGCCTGCCTGTGCACCCAGCAGCAGGGCAGAGAGGCTGGGCTGGCTTTGGAGCTGCCGGTAAGCAGCACCTGTGCGGTGTTCTGGGCCGTCGTGGCTGTGGCAGCACACAAACACACACGCTCATGGTGCATAAGGGCTGGAGCCCTCCAGAGTCGTGCCAGTCTGTTTGCAGGGGAACAAGCAAGGCAGAAGTGGGGTCCCCAGGGGCCTCAGGACAGAGAGTAAGGAAAGCTGCCCTGTATCTTCCTCAGTGAGTTTAATGCTGGATGATGATAGATAAATGTCTAATGCCAACCACAGGGAGTGGGAGCACCCCCTTGGCTGCGTGACCCAGTGAGAAGTCTTCACAGCCCTTTTCAGGAGGAACTGGCTTGGTTGGTTGTGTGTTCATGACAATTGTATCAGTCTCTGCACTGTGCTCTGCCGTGCGGTGCAGCGTGGCCAGGAGTCCCTTCCACCACGGCTCCCGCCAGGCCAGGAATTAGGGTCTGAATTTGTACCCTGGGGTGGGGCAGGTTCTCTTTCCCTCTACGAGCCTGGGTCTGGTTTCCAGCAGCGCTACAGCTGTGCACAGTTGTCATGTCTGGGTTTTGCCACGAGATGGTGTTGTCCTAAAGCCAAATGGTTTGACACCCGCTGGCGATCATCCCCAGCCCTCTCCCTCAGCCTAGCGTGGATGCTGGAGAGCAGAGGTGGGGTTCTTCTCTGTCCCTTGGGGTTTCCCTTCTCCCTCCTTCCCTGCTCACCCACACCCCTAATGATAAGCAAGAGCTGATGTGCCTCAAGCACCTTTCACCCCAGCACTTTCCCAGCTCCAAGTGGACCTGGACAGAACTGAGCCCCTTGTCACTTTGCTGCAGACCCGGACTGCTTCAAACTTTGTACCAACTGCAGGGCTGGAACCCAGATAGCCTGCTCCCAAAACACAGGCTGCGGCCTTTGGGCTACGAGGGACTCTCCCAGCATGACCAGCCCTAAGCGTTCTAGGAGTCAGGAGATTTTATCAAAGCAACACGTTGTTCTTTTTCTTTGCCTTCCAGTTCCTGAGCTGCACTCAGGTCACGTGTTCAAGCTTTTCTCCGGACCCATGAGGGCTAGAGCCAGCCAGGGCACTGCTGCATGGTCCTCTCTTATTGCAAGGCGCACAAGAGCAGAGGGGACTGTTAACACAGAACTGGGTCCCATAGCAAATGCCCCCAAACGCTAGAGTCTGAACTCAAATCAGAGCCGGACTTTGTAGCGGGCCCCTCTGCCTCTAATGGGCTAAGACAGATGCCTGAACCCAAACACCCCTCAATCTGGAGCGCTGCGAAATCTGGGGCTCAAACCCTTATCTAGCTCAAAGGCTGGCAGCTGTTCCTGGTCATCAGCTGGTGACACATGTCAACCAGGTGTTAGCACTAGGTATCTACCAATAGGGGATGCTGCAGGAAGGTCACCGAGGAAACGGTCCCCGGGGCTGTAGCACACTCAGGGATATGGCTCCAAGTGCAT